TAAACCTGTTCCTGTAGCCAAGCATGGCTTAAGTGATTATCCAGCATACTTAATAGCTTATTATTCAGATTACTTTGTGAATGAATGAAGACCCCGAAGCCAAGCAGCAGGAGCATGACACAGTTTTGTTCCACGTTTCCACAGAAACCTGATAGCCTTCACCAAAGACGGCTCGGATCCCTTCATACGGCTGTACCTGCTGCCTGACAAGAGCCGGTCGGGAAGGCGGAAGACGAGCACGATGAAGAAGACTCTTAACCCGGTTTATGATCAAACGTAGGTTTAGCACTCTCCGATCAGCTTTTCTGCCACACTGCTATTAAATCTAATTAAAACAACTACCCACCTATATTTTCCACACCCAGACCTTTAGTTTATTTTATTTGCATCATTTTCATAATTCTGGGGCGTGGGGAGTCCGGATACAGCTTTATGTCTGCAGTGATGCACCACAAGGGAAACCAGGAGGCAAACAGATACAGGAGAACGAGATCTTAGCGGTGAAAACTTAGTGGCGTTATATTATAGGCTTTTGCAGAAAATCCATGTGTAACGACAGAAAATTGATGCAATATTGATATATTTGAAGTTGTTTTAGAAGTTCAAGTTTCATATGAAGCAAATCTGATATCGTCACTTCTTCCTCATCGCTTGTAGCATTCACATTCATGAAAAGATATGGACTTTTCTTTTACGACCTTCTTCAAACAATCTCAAATTTAGTGTAACAGTGGTTTAAGATTACAGGTTTGCTTTTCAGGTGGACTTTAGATGTCGCTAAGTGATCTACAGATTTTGATTGGAGTCTTTATAATGTTGATATTGAATGTGTGAACTTGTGTCTGCAGGTTTGAGTTCAATGTCTCCACAGTGGAGCTGCACAGGAGAACTCTGGATGTAGCGGTAAAGAATGGAAGGAGCATCCTGTCCAAACACAAAGGCCTTCTGGGAAAGGTGACAGTAACACTGACAGGTGTCTTTATGTACAGTACAGTATGTCTCTGACTGTGAAGGTTTTCTAAGCGTCACATATGTTGGATTATAAAAATACACAAAATGAAGACAAAACACAATTTTCCTTGGTTGCTTTTTTTTTTAGCCTCTTTTAAGTGTCAGAATAATTTAAAATTAAAATTCTTTTAAGATTTAAGATGAATTAAATTAGTTTTTGTCCAAACTTAACAAAAGCAAAACTAAAATTGTAACAGCAAAAAACCCAGGATAAATCTGGGGACACTACTAGTCCATAAATGACGAAAGAACTTTAGCATCTGGAAATATTAAAATCATACTTTTGAGAAAGTATTATTGCAAAAGTCTTACAAAAGAAAGTCAATTTAGTCATGCAAGGCGTCCAAAGAACGCATTTATTTGTGCAATTTGTGTGTCTATGAAATGTTGCGCTTGTCATTGGTCTATTTTCTATGAACCAGTTTTTTTATTACATTTGTGATAATATTAATAAATAACGATGTTTTCAGAATAAAAAAAACATTCATTCTTTTTTTTTTTTTCTTTTTTGCCCAAATGTAGTGAACGATGCAAACAATGCACAAAACTGGGACTACAACAACAAAAACAAACACCAAATCGACCAGTATCAGAAGAACAACTAAATAAAAAAAAACACATGATTTAATCTCAATATATTTGAAAGAGAACAATATCTACATTTAAAAAAGATGACAAAACAGCAGCAACATCCGAGAAAACATTTTTTAACCCTCTGATGCGTGAGTGACTGACTATACAGTCTTATGTGAGTGGGTCCTTTTTGGCCCGGGTTCCAGTCATTGTGTTTTTATGCTACTTTTGTCATTTTAATTCAAAATAATGTTTTGTATAATACTTTCTACTGTGTTTTATTTCACACAAGAGTTATTTCATGTTTGAAATATTTTCATTTTTCACTTTTTTAAACATTTTTAGAACAATTTGTAGAACATTTTTAAAACAAAATGACAACAGCAGCAATTTTACAACAACAATGATGAAATGTCAATAATGGACAATGTTAACATCCATTATTTGTGTGTGGGTGTGTGTGTGTGTGGGCATGCGGGGGGTGGGGGGGGTGTGCAAAAGAGCACGTTTTCTGAAACTAGCTAGCTAACCAAGCTAGCTAACATTACTGTCGCTATTCTATTATGCTGTGTGTATCACGCATGTGAGTGTTTGTATGCGTGTCATCCATCCATCCATCCATCCATCTTTCGTTTTTCTGGGGTGGGGTCGTGGGGTCAGCAGCCTAAGTAAGGAGGCTCACAGTTCGCTCTCCCCAGCCACTTGTTCCAGCTCCTTTGAGGGAACCCATGCCGTTCCCAGACCAGCTGAGACACATCGTCAGCGTGTCCTGGGTCTTCCCCGGGGCCTCCTCCTGGTGGGACATGCCCGGAACACCTCACCAGGGAAGCGTCCAGGAGGCATCCTAATCAGATGCCGAGTCACCTCAACTGGGTCCTCGACATGAAGGAGCAGCAGCTCTACTCTGAGTCCCTCCTGGATATCTGACTTTCTCACTCTATCTCTAAGGGAGAGCCCAGACACCCTACAGGGAAAACTAATTTTGGCCGCTTGTATCCATGACCTCGTTCTTTCGGACATGACCCAAAGCTCATGACCGTAGATGAGGTTAGGAATTTAGATCAACCACTAAATCAAAATGACCCGAACGCGGGTCATTTTGGACCCACTCACGGAAGAATGGGGTAGTAACATAAAACATGCTGTTTCTTAAAATGTATAAAAGGCAAATTAAAAATTTGAATTGCATGATATCAGTAACGTGTTTCTTGAGGAATACCTGGAATATGAAGTGATGAAAACTTTTCATTACAAAGATATTGCAAAAAAGATGACCTCACCGGGTCAAAAAGGACCCACTTACCCATCAGAGGGTTAAGGCAAGTTATTTCTGCAAAAGATGAAATAACATAAGAAGTATAAAAATATCATGGAAAAACATGATCTCAAATGACACATCAATTGTTATTAATTAATTCATGTATTGATTTTCTCATTCAATGTTTAATTCTGTACCTTCATGTTTTTTTTTTTTGTTATATTGTAAATTAAATTTCTTGTCCAAATTTGCAGGTGCTGGTAGATTTAAGTGGAGACGACATATCAAAAGGATTCACTCAGTGGTAATCAAACCTTTTAATCTGGATTCTTATTCTTTCCTTTCATTCACTGATTTAAAGAGAGTCTTATTGATTTAGCCCTTTAATATTTTGTTCTGCAGGTATAATTTAACGGAAGACGGTTCATCTTCTCAAGAATTGAGAAGAAGTCAAGAATCCCTCATCACACAGTGAAACCTCTCCGTACTCTAAAAGTTATTTTGTTTTTCAGACTATTTATTATGTTTTTTCATGACATTTAAAAGAATTTGGGCATTCAAGAGATTTTCTTTTTTGAGAAAAACGGCTAAAGACATACTATACTTTAAAGTTGTAAAAAAAAAAAAAAGCAAACCGTCTTGTTTTTGTTTGCTGGGTTTTATGTAAATATTAAGATTGTGCATATTTATATAATTTAAAAAAATAATAATAATTTGCAGACTTTTTTGTGGAATTATGTTTCTTTAATGGACGTTTTGTAGAAATATGTCCAAATTCCTAGAAATTTCTGTGACATTTATGCAAAAAAAAATGAGACAAAATCTGTTTTGTTGTTTATGAAAATGAACCAAAGGAACAGATACAATCCCACGCATTGGCCTCATAAGTAGCACTCCTTTTTTGTTATTTATTTTAGTTTTGTTTTTATTATTTTTGTCATGCAGTGTTATTGACCGTTTACGTCCTATTGTTCTTTATGCCTGTTAAAAAAAAAAATACATGTGATGCATGTATGCAAATTGTATTTATTTTTGGAGATTTGTACAATATTTGTGATTTTGAATTTTATCTGAGATGCTGAAGAAAGTGGCATTTAGGGCTATGAACAAGTGCTGCAAACTACATAGGTATATAAAAGAGGATACTTTAAGGGTTTGAAGAGTTTCAAACCAAATGTGAGTCATGTGAACAAAGAGAGATAACTTTTTATGATCAGGTTGCTGCAACATGTTGAGATGATGCATCTTTGCCTATGTGCTTGTAAATGTTTTGCCTTGCAATTTTAACTGTTTGTTGCAACTTTTCAACACATTTCTTCTGATCTATCTTGTGCCTTAAAAACCTGCGATGTGAGTTTTTTTTCTTCTTCTTCTAAAATATTAACATTTTCAAACATTTACCTGATGCCAAGTGGCTTTGAATAAATAAATATGTTCTTTTGGAAAAATCTGTTTATTTTTTATCATTGTAATAAATACAATATTTCTTGTATTAGAAACACGACAGCGTTTTTGTTTGATTGTGTTTGCACAATCTCTTTAGATCAGATTCCCAGGTTTTATGCTCTTTTTGTTCTTCTGCTCACCTTGCAGGTTTTATATAGGATTACAGTCTCAGCGAGCTGTGAAAGAAGGTTCATTTTGCCTCCAGTGAACCATTTCTGTGTTGATTTTGCCTTGTTTTAAATGACTGTCCTGCTGAAAACCTTTTTAACAACAATCCAATAAAAATGTTTAAAAACACGAGTCACGGCTCTACATATTTTAAAACTTTGAAGACAAGGTTTTGATTTTTCAGATTTTAAACATTTTATCCAATTCTCCCAAATCACCATAATGCATTCTGATGGATAAACCTTTAAGTGTTTCTGTTTTATGACGAAAATTAATTTTTACAACTCCAATATCAAATTCAACTTCTGGGATGTGGTCTTTCTGAAAACAATTGGGTTCTTATGTCTATATGTTACAGTCAGACCTCCTTATTGGTTTTATAGACGTTAGTATTTTTTATTTTATTTTATTTTAGAGCATCTATGTAGAAAAGTATCACTCAAAGTTGAGTTGCTGTGGAGAAAATATTTATGTGGTAGTTTGTCGCCCTCAAGTGGTTGAGAAATGTAACAACTCCTACGTCAAAAACAAACGCCTGACGTCAGGACGGAAACAGTCTATCCAAATTTGCGCGGGTTAAGTCGGCTGTCATTTTCTTCCCGGTTCCCGACTACAATAACATAAACAAAAAGGTAACAAACAACTGAGCTAACTTTATAGTCAGATTAATTCTTCATTTAAATGTTAGCTCGGAACTATCTAGTTAGCAGAGAGGAGTTAAATTTATCAAACGTAGTGTTAAATGTGGTCGACTAACAGTCGGCCATAGTTGTTTTGGTTTGGCAAATACTCCGCCTGCTTGTGAAGAAGTCAATGTTCTCACTTCTTTCAAATATTCAGGCCACTTCGTATCGCTTGGATAACCCGGAATAATGTCCAAGCGAGATGTGTTTTTAGAGGCTACCTCTAAGGAAAAGGTGGAGGACTTTCTTCGCTTTATTCAGCTTCATGTAAGTGGCAAGCTCTGTTTACTGTATTTTATTACGGCGAACTATAGACGCAGACATCGGTATCTTAATTTTCGGGTTATACATAGTCTTAACACATGCCTATTACCCTCAAGGGTTTTGATATACGGTTTTCAGCATGTTTTTATTTATTCTAGATGTTATAGACGTGTTCCTTCTCCAGTGGAATTGATCCAAATGCTTGAATTACTTCCCCAAAATGTTACCATCATTTTATGTAGGTGTGTCAAAATCTGAAACATATAGATAACATCACAAGTCTTTAGTAATAAATTTTGATTGAGATGAGTATAAGTTGACAACATGAATAAATTTATTAAATATTACATTTAGTAATACATTTAATAAATAAATAAATAATTTATTTATAATATTTTTATATATATTTTATATATAAATATATTTATTTAATAAATAATTTATAGAGAGATGTAGGGACTTGAGTATGTCGACAATGCTTTTCGAATATGAGAATCTTTGAAAACATGTAAGTATTGCATAAAAACATCATTTGAGTCATCATGAAAATACTAATATTGCTAATAATGCTTGGGTGCAAAAGTAATTGCAGCTGTTTTAAATATAAATAGTCATGTTATACAATGTCACAATCATTCCACAGGCCTGTAAAAAAAGGCATAACCCAGTCCAGCTAGACTTTTTACAATACATAGGTATAATTAATATTTGATTATTGAATGAAAATAACAAAGGCCAATGCTTACCTTTCCAGTTTGGATATATTAATATTAACCTCTGATTTCATCCAGTTTCAGTGCCAGAGATGCAGACAAATCTTTAACAAAACTGCACCAAAAGTTAATGACATGCCAAAGATAAAAACACGGTGACCCAGCCTGCATCCTGGGTTTGTTTCAGGAAACATAAAACCCTGAATCTTCTTTCTTTCTTTCTTTCTTTTTTTTTGTCTGAGCAGAAGGACAAAACCGAGCCCTTCGATGTTGAAGAGGTGGTCCAGGAGATGCCCAGAGAGCAGAGGGAGGCTCTCTGGGGTCAGCTGGACTCGCTCCTCCAGGAGATTCTGACGGATTTACCTCCAGGTCGCTGGGAGGAGGACGCGATGCAGCAGGAGTCGGCGCCGGATCCTGTGAGTTCATCAGTCACTTCCTGTCCAGCTGGACGACATCAATCAAGCGTTACTCAGAGTACCTCCAATGTGTTGTTTTCTGATTGTTTTGAAATGCGTGGCTACATGATTTCTTCTCTTGATGATTCTAGAAAAACCTCTTTTAATTGCAGAAGCACGTCATGGCGGTGGTGGACGGTGTTACCCTGGTGGCTGCTGTGTCTCTGAAGGTCTTACAGGACGGAGACACGTACGGTGCACTTTTAGATATCGCCTGCAGGCTTCATGGTGAGAATTATGTTGTTGTTTGATTTGACAGATTTAATGGTAATTGCACTGAATCTTACATATTGCTTTTCTACTGACACCCACCACTCAAAGCGCTTTACAACTAAAGCCACTTTGCTCTCTGTTCAGACTGTTCCCAAACAGTCTGAACAAGTTTGGAAGTCAATTTCAGGAAATTTCACATCTCATTCGTGCATCTCTCTCTGTTAAGGCTGGACAATATATCAGGAATATGTTGTCATCGCAAGATCATTGTGTTCAATATTCACATCTCAAATGTCTGGAGTTCAATAATAACTGACTAATGTATCCTAAGTGTCATGAACTTACATTTTACATTTTACTGTTATGTTTAGTCAGTCAGATGCTCACACAGGACACTAATGACAATGTCCAATATGCTAAAGGTCAAGAGAGATGGAAGCACAGATGAGAAAAAGAGGAAAGAATAAAATGGGCTTAACAACTAATGTCGCTTTGCAATATTTACCGATAATATTACCACCACTGCAAGATTTTCTAACATCGTACAGCCCTAGTCTGTGTGTCTGTCGGTCCATCCATGTGTCCTTTCCTGCCGTTGCAGGAATGCCTGACATAAATTCACTCTGAATCTTTACATTTAAAACCACAGATTCTTAGATTCCAGAAATTAGCAGTTTATGTATCGTCTCGAATTGGACTTCAGCTTTTTCCAAGTATGGGTAGGTATGAAAAAGGAAAAAAAATGCACGTGGAAAATGAAAAAATGTGTTTTTCCACACTTCTATTCTCTTGTTCTTTTCTTATTCTTTTTTGTGTCTTTCTTTCTTTGGGTTTTGTACGGGATTTGCATATAACCTTCATTATAGTCTCTGCAATCTTCAGTTTTCGATGTTTTAAAATGTATGTTTAAAGCAGAAATTTTTAAGCTGTGGCATAATGAACCTGTAACATCAGAACTGGGAGAACTATGAGAAGTGTTCTGTGAATAAACTTCCTGTGCCTCTCTGTGATTGTAGCTGTTTTTTCCCCCCACCAGATGTTTTGGTGTCCCTCCCCGTGTCCGAGGCGCCGCTGCAGCTCCGCATACAGACGCTGTTTGAAACCTGGTGGAAGAAGGAACTGCTGGAGAGGGAAAAGTTTGGGCGCGCTGCTTTCCTCATCTCCCTCCAGAAGAGCTTCATCCTAAAGAAACCGGTCAGTGTATTCTCCCAGGATGTTCAGTATTTTTAGAAACAGGAGAGACGTTTTCTGGCTGAGGGTAAGATCATTCTGACAGGCAGGAGGAGGAGAGAGAGAGAGCCGTGAGCAGACCTAATATTCTCATCTGTGATCTCTTTGTCAGGCTGCTGAGATCCAGAGGCTGTGGAGTCTTCACAACGTTCTTAAGAGTCTGGAGTACACATCAGAACACAACAAGCAGATAATCGACTTGCTGCTTCAGTGCTTTCACCGTCCTACTCACATTAGAAACGATGATGTGAGCGGAGGCGGTCGTTATCGCAGTTTCTCCGACTTTGTCCTTGAGCTGTCGGCCTGACGGTGTGTTTACTGTCGCAGGGAAAGCGATTCCTGGTGTTCCTTTTCAGCTGGAACGTTGATTTTATCTGGCTTATCCACGGCACCATCAAAAACCAGCTGGAGTTTTATCAAAAGTAAGAGGTGCTCTTCATAGTCAGTGACTCCAGTCAGTATATATATATACCAGAGAGTTTAATAATTTTGTTTTGCTTTATTCTCAGGACCCTAGCCACTCACATCGCGGAGATCTATTTCAGAGCCTGGAAGAAGGCCAGCGGCGACTTCCAGGAGACGATTGAGAGCACATGCATTCAGGATTTCATGCAGAATGCCATTTTGCTTCAAAGAACATCACCGGTTCACAGCAAAGTTAGACAGGTCTGCCTCGTTACGGCTCGTTCACATTTTTGTAATATCACAACCGTAGAGTTAGGATTTACAAATAAGTACAAAAAAACATGATAAGTGATGTGGATTTCTGCTTAGACCCCTCTAATCTGATACTAAAATCCTTTGGCCTTCAGAAGACAGATCATTAGTGAGGCCTTTTGGCAAAAAACAATGCTTGTAATGGATAACTACACTCTAAACATAACATACCCATTGTGAAACATAGGAGGGGCATGAAACAACTTGCTGGGGGGATGCTTTACTTCCTACTTCCCAATCGTGTCCTATTCTTAAAGGTTTACAACATAAAATCCAAGTGAAATGTGAAAAGTTTGTGGTTTTCTTGTGGTAAAATGAAGAGTTGTATCCTGTTTTGCTTTCAGCGTGTTCTCTTTTCCTTATTTCATGTAGATCGTGAGCTATTTTCACTCGAGGAAAGGATGCCCCAGTGTAGACAAGATGCTATACAAACTCTACAAGCCGATTCTCTGGAAGTCTCTCAGCGTAGGCAACACACACAATTAGTTCCTGGGATCATTCACACTGTGCTTACGTGCTGTTCCAGTGCTGATGTCTGCTTGACGCCTTCAGGTTCCCAACTTTGAAGTGCGAGCAAACGCCACTTTGCTTTTCACCGAGGCCTTCCCGGTGCACGACCCGGAGCTAAGCAACGAAAACGTGGACATGAACATTCAAAAGCAGCTGGACTCGGCAATGGTGGGGATTATTTTAAGAAATCAGGATGGAGATTAGTTTTTATTCCCTGTCAAATTCAGTTCTTTCATCCTTCATTTTTTTCCCCCCCATTACTTTTCATGATTTTTACAAATTTCATAAAATGCAGAAATACTTTCTTGAGGAAAACAACAAAACTCTATTCTTTTAAGAATGATTGACAAATGAACTTTGAAAACTGGTGTTGAGAAAGGAAAAGTACGACTTCTACATGTGAAGAATGAGGGAACGCTGAGATTTCCAGCCTTGTTTTATCGTTTCAGTGGAAAACGATTATTTCAGGGGGGTGGGTGAGCAAATTTTCACACGTATCTAAATGTCTGTCCTCCTCAGGCGCTCCTAGATGACTCTCACCCCACTGTGCGCTCCAGTGCCACGCTGGGAGTCTGTAAGATCCTGGCAAAGTGCTGGGAGCTCCTTCCGCCAACGATCATCACAGACTTCCTGAAGAAGCTGGTAACGGAGCTGGCCGCCGACAGCAGCTCTCCTGATGTCCGCTGCTCAGTCTTTAAGGTAGAACGCCATGGCCTTAGTTCAGCTTAAGTCAACCTACAGCAGAAAAATCCTGGAAATTTAATTTTGAATACTTTGATTCAATACAGGTATTCATGGAGTTCAGAGGCTCACAAGCCTAACTTAGAAAATCAGTGTCTTTGCTTATGCGACTGATATTTGATTTCTTCACTAGATTTTCTTTTATTTTAATCTTTTTTTTGTGTGTGTTTGTTTTATTAAAAGAATCTACAACCTCAGTTGTATTTGACGTATCCCAAAATGTCCCATATCAGTGAAAAACCTTTATTTATCAACATTTTAGATATTAGATAAAAAGCACAAAAACCCGATTTGTATCAGTATAGCAGGAAAAAAAATAAAGATTTCTAATTTTATAATCTTTACAAAACGCATAGATGTTAAAGGACATCTTTACATTTTATTAAGATTGAATATGGGGGATTTATTAGGTGTGATTTTTTTTTCACACCATTTTACATTTGGTCAAAGTGACATCTTACCCACAATCAGGTAGGCACAGGTCAACAACCACAATCTTTAATGAACGTAACAAAAAGTAATTTTTGCTTCGTAAAACTTGTTACCATGAAAGGCCCCTATTTTTTCATATTTTATTTTTATATTGTTTTTTTGTTGTTGTTTTTTTTTATGAATCTTATGGATTTTTATGTTTCCTTTTTTTTCTCTTGCAGTGCCTGAATATTGTCCTGGACAACCCACAGAGCCACCCACTGCTGGAAAAGCTGCTGCCCACCATCAAGAACAGTCTCCACGACAACTCTGAGAAAGTCCGCACGTCGTTCATCGACCTGCTCATCAAGGTCAAAGCAGTCCGTGCTGCCAAGGTGCGGTTTGTTTGGAGAAAAAAATATATATATAGTTGCATTTTCATTCTGGTATTCAGTTCATTAAGACTCGACAAAGTGCTCAAAAAGTTGCAGTGATGTGTGGCTGAATCTAATAATAAAGTGTCAGTGTCTCTTGTGGTCAAAAGTGGTATTACAAAAACAAACTAAAAAATAAAGCTGATTTTTAAAGTCTGGCTAAAAAAAAAATACTTAACATTTTAAGAGCTGCAGGTTTCTTTTTTGTTACTGGCTTCTTGTGGTAGACCTCAAAAAAGTTCCTTACATAACTGTTGATAAATCCCAAAGTTATACAATTTCTTTTAATGCAGATTTAGAAACTGACTCTCTTGATGGCTTTTGTAAGAGTGGTAAAGTAATAGTAGTCAATCCACTGCTATTATTTCTGAAAAAAACATTTTCTATCACAAAGTAATTTCTAATTTAATCAAATAAAAACGTGCCACAGCTCCACCGATTAAGCAAGTGGGAGGCTTTTCTCCTCACCCTCCCCTCTTTCTGTCTCCTTCCAGTTCTGGGATGTCTGCAGCATGGACCACCTGCTGGCCCGCCTCGCCATCGACTCGCTTTCCGTCTCCAAGCGAATCGTCGACCTGCTCTTCAAGTCCTTCTTCCCCGTCAACGAGCCGGAGAAGGAGTGGTGCTGCAGGTGCATCACCCTCATCCAGATGAACCCCATGGCTGCCAGGAAGTTCTACCAGTTTGCTCACAAACACACAGCTGCCACCAACATCAGTGAGGAATAAAAGTTTGTTTTTATGAGATCACATGACAGGCTGTAGCACTGAATAATTTAGTTTCTTTTTTTTTTTTTTTTTTAATATTCCAGTAAAACTGATTCTGGCTATTCGTCGAACTCTGAACAACTGCATCCAGGTTGACTTTGACGTGACGGAGATTAACGACAGCAATAAGGAGAACAGCACAGTAAGACGGAAGCATTTATAGACTCTATTGAACTAATAAGAAGTGCATGAGTGAGAAGAAACAGTTACATAGCATTCATCGCCATTCATTCTGATATCCTTGAATTAAATTTGGGGTAATAAACTGTCCACAGCTCAGGAGGGAGAACCCGTAGACTGTGTAATTATGAGTAACGGACTAAAATGCATTGACGTTTGAGGCTGTAATGGGATAAAATGTGAAAAAGTGGCTATGAAGACTCTTGCAGGCGACGCAGAACCGATTTAAACTCGATGTCCAGTCGCCAGCAAGATCTAAAGTAGCACTAAACTCTGTGTCAATCAATGTGTGTTTGTTGCTCCCAGCAGGGCGGACCGCTGGTGTTGGGACAGGACTTGTCCGTCGTGTCCAGTTTGCTGGAAGTCGTGGTCATCCTGTGGAGAAGTGTTGAGAAGGCGCTGAAGCAAAACGAAGAGGCGCACAAGTACACAGTTGCCAAGTTTGGAAATGTCATGGCCAAGTATTTCCAGGCTTTTGAGGTAAAATAGCTGCAGTCCGTTATTATTTTAACGTTTCTCTAAACGACAGCGTAAATGTTTTTTGTTGTTTTTATTACTGTTTTTTTGTTGTTGTTTTCTTTAGGATGAGCGCTGCACTGTACCTCTAATCCAACTGGCCTCTTGTATGCCTCCAGCTGCAGCTCCAACATTTAGGTGGGCTACAATGCTAACTTCTGATTGCACTTGATTGTGTCTTGATGTAAAACGGTCTAACTCGACTGTCTTGTATTGAAATGTCCTAGCCGCGGCGTGCTGTCCAGACTGAGGAGGATGGAGTCGGGATCTGCTCCAGCTCAGTTCAGCCAGCTGCTGGACTGCGTCTGCAGCTGGGGTCAGGCGGCCGACGTCCTCGAACTGGTCTCTGATTGGCTGGGCGAGGCCGTTCCCAAGCAAGGGGTCAGTGGTCAAGGCTGCATTCCCTGTGCTCTCTGGGAAACTATAGACAAAAAGTTTGAAGACCGCTTTAAAAGTTTGCCAGGAGAAGTGCGTAAAATGTCGCCTGCTCCCAACTCTAGGACAAGGCCGCTAAAAGCAGAAAGGTGCGAATCCAGGAGACGGCGGAGGCCAAACCAGACCTGGCTCTGGCGTATCTGGAATACCTTTTCAGCCACACTTCCACACGGGAGAAAGTCCTGGCTGTGGGCGAGGGGCCCCTGAAGGAGCTGCACACGCTTTTAGGGAACTGGAAGGTATTTTATAAAACGGAAAGGTTGAAACACGTAACAGTGAATCTGTTGCAGCCTTCCTCTACAAGTAACATGTTTCTCTGTGTTGTCTCGGCAGTCGGTTCTCTACACTCACCTCAGATCCTCCACTGAAGACCCAAAAAGACCCGAAGTGGAGACGGCGCTGAAAGCCTTCGTTTACCACGGTCGCCTCGGTGCTCATCTCCAACATCACGTAAGTCTCTCTCTCTCTACTGATTAGCATCTGTCGTCCACCTGCTCCTGTGTTTTGTTGAAATGAATGCTCCTTTTCATAGCTAGTTATAGTTTGCTGAAACAAAGTGGAAGAAACCTTTCTCTGTTTCATGGATTTTCATGGAATACATAAAAATAAACCTGTAAATGTTCAAATTTGTTCTTCTGGAAAGGAAACAGCAGTTTATGCGTAAGCCCAGATTTTGCTCACAAGTTCAGTTATGAACATACATAAATCTCCACAGCATGATGCTGCCACCAACATGCTGGACATTGAGTAGGTTGTTTTTGGAAACTTCACTCTGACAAATGCAAACATGCTTCTCGTTATTGTTTTCAATCTGCTAAAATGGCCAAACGTTTTCCTCCTGAGGGAATTTGGCCTCTTTAGGCTCGACGTTTTGTTCTTCCTGGGTTGTTCCTCAACATCTCTCTTCTGATTGTGGCTGTTTGTGTCTTCCAGGCCTCAGCAAAGCGGTGACGCATCCGAGTAAATCACATTTATGTACATTTGTTTGAAACGATGATTTCTGGAGCCACGGTTATGTAGAAATTGCTCCACAATACTTCTTCACACCTGCAGTTCTTTTTCATTTATTTTTTTTATTCGTCCTTGAGAAGTGTTTTGCTTTCATCTCCCTGGAAATAGTCATAATATTCAAAATGAAGATGAAAGTCGTGCTCTTTATGTCTTCAAGCATCTACACCGTAGACAATTTCCCTGAGCAGCTTCCAGACATCTCTCCAGATGACAGATTTTTATTTTATTTCATTTTATTTTTTTGTAAGCCAGTTTGTCCCTGGCGATGAGCCCGCTCCTTCTGTCTTCAGCTTGACGAGAAGCTAAAATGAAAACAGGAAGTGTTTTCTCTGTCTGCCAGTCGACAGCAGGTCGGGACTACCTGGTCTCCGTGGAGCGAGTGGCGGCGTGGGTCGCAGAGAAGATCCTGCCCTTCCTCACCGGGAGCGACGACGGCGAGGTCTCGGAGGGGTCGCGGAAGCTCGCCACACAGATAACCGAGGTGAACTTCACTGTTATCTCTTTTTGGAAACAAACACAGCTCCAAAACTGTGGCTTATTTGCTCATTTGCTATGTGAGATTTGGTTTCATTATTGCTCTGTAGTTATTAAACCTCAGCTGACCTTAATAATTCTAGAATGGAGAATGATTCTCATTAGGCAGATATTAAAAATATTTTTTCATTTCAAAACTGAATTTGTATTTGCATGATTGATGACTAAATAGTCTTATATTCTCAGACAGACGGAGCTGTTATTTTTTAAAGTAATGCCTTTTCGTTCCCGGTATTTGACATTTTGAAGAACTCTGATGTTTTTTTTTGTTGTTGTTTTTTTCCCTACATCCAACATGATGCAGATTTTCTATTTTCTCCCGGAGGAGCTAAATATGACGTGAATGTGCGTCAAGCTGGAAACTGGAGTCTATTTATATGATCACTAATGCGTTTTAGAAATCAAACCTGACATTATCCAGGGTTTAATATGCAGTATGGAAAAGTATGAGAGGGAACAAAATGTGTTTCCAGATTTACTCATGTCTCTACGGGTGCAAAACCCATATGGCTTTCGGTTTGATCATTAATTGGTTTGTCCATCTGTTTCACCGTCTATCAGTTTCTCCTTCGATTTGTGTCAATTTATTTGTTTTCCTTTAACTCATTCATCCACCCTGTTCTCCATCCAAATGTTGGTCCTGAGAAGTCAGGGAAAAGTCTGGAATTTTGGACATAAAAAATGAGTTGAATATTAGATTAAAAATCTAATCTTCCAGATTAGATTTGTATTTCGCTCACTTCCACTCCGGCTCATAACCCGGATCAAAAGGAAGCCTGCTGTTGCTGCTGTTGTTATCCTGGATGTTTGGTTCCGTTTAGCTCGTGTTCCTCCTCCATCTGGGACTCGGAGCGCCGCTCAGTAAATTTAGAATCCTCATTGATTTTTCTGCTCCAGTCCACACCACGCTGCTGTACGCATCCCTCCTTCTGCTCGCACTACTGAAGTGGATTGTTTTCCCATTTCTCCTATCAATCCCACTGTTTTGTCAGCTCTTTAGAGTAACTGCAGATGTTTATTTTTTTGTTTTTTATCAGAGCTTCCTGAAAGTGTGCCGAGACATTTTCCTCGTCGGTTTGGGGGACGAGACGTTCAAAGGCCAAATCCTCCACCTGTGCTCACTCATCCTCCTCTCAGGTGAGAATATCATGATATGTGAAGGAGACGTTGCAGTTTTGCTAAAGCAGACAAGAAGAAGGACGTTTCCCTGAGGTTTACCTCGTCTAACTCTTGAACGTCTTACAGGGAAGTAACGGCAGCGTTTGTGTTTGCAGAGGCAGGCTACACGTGTATCCCAGCAGTGCTTCCGATTCTAAAGGAGGTGGCAAACAGCTTTGTGCCTGATTATAACGACCAGGATCAGGAGTCCAACTTGGTCATGTTGGGTGTGGTGGCCAACATTTTCCAAAAGATCATAGAGTTGTTGGCACGTCGCCTGAGGAAAGAACCGGAAGAGGGACAGCTTGTAAGGAGTGTTTTTTTTTTTGTTTTTTTTTTAATTGTCATTCAAATAATTCTGTTTTCTGTTTCAGTGGCTTGCAAAAGTATTCACACAAAATATAAAGTATGCGCGAAAATTTAGAGTTCCGGTTTTTAACGTCTTGAAACTCTCCGGTCCACTTCAGCTGTGTCGGTCAGCCGTTCCCAGCCTGACGGACTTCCTCCAGGTGGCACAGACGTGGGATGCGGCGCTTCGTAGCGGGGTGCACTCCACCGTGTTTGCGGCCATCATTGTGGAAAAGAGGCATTTGCTTCAAAAGGAAAAAAAAAAAAAAAAAAAAAAAAATTAAAATGGCACAGAACAGAGCCTGTCAAAAGGCTGGAAGTTACCTGCTTTCATCAGCTTTAGTTGACGGAACCCTAACCCAAGTGAAAGATGTATTAAATGGTTTGTGTTTCTTTATTTGAAGCTTACACATCCTGAAGAGGTTGTCATCCCGCAGTCTGTTGATGAAATGCCTCCTTTGTCCAGCTTACTGCTGTCTGTCATCCTCAAATCCCCCTCTATCACAAGGTACACACACTCAGTGCTGCTGATTTAGTCAAATTCGAAAGACGTTTTATAGATTTTTCTTTTTTTTTTTTCTTTATAAATTCCCGCTTTAGGTCATTTTTGGCAGAGGTCTCGTCATCTTTGGAGTCGGACGCCCTTGACAGTCTCTCTGAGCTGGCGGCAGTTCTGCACGTCTTGGCGGTCATTAAACAAAGTACGTTTCCGTGCCTCAAAACGTTCACATTGACATTTGCTGTTGCCATTTATTGAAAATGAATGTGGTTTGTTGCTCATTAGCGGGGCACTCCAAAGGCGGGATAAAGAGAGCTGCCGTGTCTGTTCAGCAGCATCTTCATCAACATGCAGGCTGCTCTGTGGACAGTAGAGAAACCCAGAGGTGAGTTTTCTTTTCTTTTTTTTTTCTTTTTTTTAATTCAATCAGAGTTTCTGTAAAGGACTGGAAAAACGGTTTAAAAGTTTGACTGTTTACGGAGCCTAACAGTTTTTCTTTTTCCCCCCCCAAAGGGTTATGTATGACTCTTCAGTGAAGACCCTGAATGCTCTTCTGCATTTCTAATCTTCCACAAATTAAAAATGATGAGTTTGTGTGGCGTGTTTTTGTTTTTTTTACATCTCGTCATGCTCTTCAGATTTTAACTGTATCAACATGTGGAGAATTTATATGAAAAACTCTTCAGTTTTTACATTTATGATATTCACAAACTGACCCCGACAGTTTAGAGATTTCTTGTTTTCCTGTACACTTTTCAAAGCTCTCATTTTCTGTCTTCATATTTAAAACACATTTTTGATGTGTCTGTATTTGTCTTCATATCTGTTGTGTTGTCAGCCCAATTTTTAACTCTGAAATAAAACAAACAGCTTGATGGACATTTATAAAAAGGTGATTATTATTTATGGCTAAAAAGGACACTTTGTGTGATGTTCATACCTACTAATCCTACTATACCTGCAACCCACATTTTTAGAGTTCAGGCCCTAACATTTGTATTTTTATACATCCCCTAATTTCTTATATTTATTGGGTAAAAACATTGGTGTTATTTATTTATTTATTTATTTTAACTAAATAACATACTTCAGCCATAAGAAATATGTAACTTACAATATCCTTCAGAGGTCCTTAATGGTAAAATCTGAAATACTTGCAAACACTACATTAAAAACAAATATGATTAAGGGCATTAAAATAAAATCAACAAACAAAAATATATGTAACTTTTTAATAGTGGGATGAACTCAAATGTAAATATATAAACAATAAGACAATTGGTAAATTTGTAACCTGTTGGGGTTTCCTTATGTTATGCTCCACCTTTTGAAAATTGACATTTAAATATCAGCACAGTCTTCATAGCTACAATAATTAATTTCTTTTCTTGCAATTCACAACTCTGTTTATTTTTGTTGCGTATATGTTTTAAAAGAAAAAAAAATAATAAAGGCTGATTAATTTTCTTCCCTGTGTGTGTGTGTAAAATCTAGTTTCTTAATGGCAGCAATAAATGAGTGAGAAAGTCAGCAATTCTCTGCCACATTCATCTAAAGATGAAATTATGTTTTTTCTCTGCATAGTTCTTATAAATCCAAAAGTTTTTTTTTTCTTCCTTATTTGCAAATTGGTATATTTGCAGTGCATCAGAAAATATCTTCACATAATGGAATTCAGTAAAACTTTTGAATGGATGTTCAAATTAAAAAGCCTAAGATGGGGTTGTATATATTTTTTGTATCTTAGCAAATAGCATCTAAACATACTAGATTACCACAGGTATTAATTAGGTCATCTCTCCAAATCAGTAAATTTAGATCCAGTCATGAAATATTCTCTCCACTAAACATTTCACAGTCAACTGCTGTTGATTCATGGGGTCATGTGTGTGAGTTTGGTCCTGATATATTATTTGAGGCACGCTGACCTTTTCTCTTCCAACATCAGTGTCTGACCTCAGAAATGCGCTTCTGGAATGATGGTCAAAACTCCCTCCAAAAGCCCTTTGTGATGACACGATAATGTGTGTGAAGGCGGGCGAGTGAATATTATTATTATTATTTTTACTTGTATATGTATCACAAATCAATGTGTTTTGAGGACTTCGCAACAGAATCAAATGCGTTTGCCTTCACGCCGTTTCGGTGTTTCATTTATAGTTCCTCCTGCCGTCAGTCTCCTCTCCTCTCGCCATGTGTGCTGCTTGACGTCAGGACCCTAGGAGGGGCTCCTCCGTCAAGCTGGTCGCTGTTCGTGGTGCTGAAACAACGCCTGGCTTCGGTTGTGCCTGAGCGAATCGTTCCGCCTCTCTCTCTCTCTGCCGTTCCTTCTCCCATCACTTTTAATCTCCTGTCCTGTGCAGCCGTCCTCCCCGCCTTCGCCCCCCCCCCCAACCCCTCACCCCCTCTGAGGTCGAGGCTGAAAACAATGCAGTTTTAGCGAAGGTGTGCGGGAATGGATTAGTGCTGAAGGCAGGAGCGGTATGGATTCTCCGCGGTGTCCCGTCCTCGTCGCTGCGCTGGTCGTCTGCCTCTGCTCCTCACCTGCCGTCTCTGACAGGAAATTCGGTAAGAATCCGCGTTTTATTTATTTATTTAATCTTATTCCACGGTCGTTCCCAAATTACACTTCTACCAGAAGTGGGATCGTCTCTGCTTTGTTCCGTCGTCACATTGTGGCGCTAAATCTCCAGATGCATAAACAAAAAAAAAAAAACAACAACCAAAAAACATTTAGCCTCTTTGCAAAACTTCAGGGGAGATCTCAGCGTGCAAACGGAATTATCTCGCAGAGTTTCCACATTGATGGAGGAGGTTGGATGAAGTCCGAAGATCCATCATTAGGAAAAGTTACGTAATCTCCCAGGCCTAATGGACGAGATGTTTCCTGTGGGACTTCTTCTCTACTTTCTACCCCATGTGTTTTCCGTCTGAACTGCACATCTGTAGTCCTCACTGTATTTAGTAGTATGACACAATGATTTACAAGATGGGCTAAACATGATGTGTGAAATAGAGCGAAGTTTGGTTGGATGGACGTTTTTTTTTGGTGACGAGCCAGTGATAGTCATACAAGTGCTTCACGGTTGATTTATTTCGGTATGTACAGATTGACTGCACAGTACAGAAACAACCCAAAAGAAAGGTCACAGAGTGATGCATTTCAAGCACCAAGCGGTTTCTAAAAGTAAAATGTGTCAGTTTTGGTTACTGAAGTCACATGCTGGTATCCTCGTGGGTAATTGGAAAATATGGAAAATCTGGTGGAAGGAAAAAGTTGGTGAAAATAGATATAACTGCTGTGTCGAGTGATAGAAACTTCTGGCAGAAATTCACTGGTCCAAATCTATCAAGTGAGGTTAATGGGCTGTATGCTTTCAGAACAAGATGAAGTTTGTTATTAAAGACGGATCTTCTTCATGCCACATTAATGCTACTATTTATATAAAGGAGCAATGGCAACACATTATCCCTGTATTAATAATGCATCTGTATTGGTCTTAAACATTGGGTTTAATCAGCTGCACATCGTAATCGTTACACTTGACAAATAAATGTTTCATTTTTTTAATTGAAATACTGACATAAATGACCTTTTAGACGTTCTGATTTGTTTAGATGCACTTGTGGCAACTGCTGATAAATCCTGAAAATGTGCTAAAATTATTGTCATGAATAATATAAGAAATATGCAAACTATAATTAAGAATAATACAAAATAATCTAAAAACTGGTAAACATTCACTATCATCTGTAAAACAAAATTAAGTACAATAAAAAAATTTATTTCAAAACTATCTGAAGCTAAATTAAAAATGTGATAAACTATGGTTACAGTTGGATTGAAAATCATGTTAAATGAAATATAAATTATTAGCAAAAGAGTGAAAAGTCTTACATTTGTTTTTAAAATAACATGGATGGTCTCTGCTGGCCTCAGGTTTTCACAGGGAGGCTTTTCCAGAGGCCAGAGCTGAGATTCATGCCTCACACTTGAGGAATAATCAGGGAAGATCTTCTTATAAGCTCCAGGATTTGTGTAGCATACATGATAAGTGCAAATCTGATCTTAGAAAATTTAACAATTCTAAAAGATAGAGAAAACATTTGCGAAAAAACTTTACGTAGTTTTTATGCGAGCTTTGCATCTGGTCCTCACAAACATTTTTGCTGGTGATTTTTCAGACTGAGAGGAGTGGGAACACAAAAAAACAGAGCTTCATTAAATGCAACACCAGGAAGCACATACAAGATCCATGAGCAGTCTGGAAAAGTTTGGAATTTGATTTTAGGGGTCTTCAGGACAGAAAATGAAAATTGGACCAAAGAAAATATTCATATTTTCTTTTTACCTTCTTTCTGTTAGTAATTTATTCTTTGTGCTATTTGTGTCTTTCTTCCTTTCCTTCTTTCTACCCCATGTCCTTCCTTCCTCCATCTTCCCTATCTTACTTCTGGGCTTGTTTTTCATCACTTTTTTTTCTTGCCTTCTTCAGTCTTGCCATCTTTGTGTCCAAACTTCATTCAATTTCTTAAGTCCTTCTCTTCTGTGAATTTCTCTCCTTCTCTGTGTCCCTCTTTCCTTCCTTTCTTCCATTTCTTTCATCTTACCTCTTTTATTTGTGCCATTTAGCTTCATTCCTTCCTGTCCCTCAGTGCATCCTGCCACTCCTTTTGTTATTCGTTTAGTATATTCTTCCTTCTCTCCTTTCTTCCTTACTTTCTTCCTAAAAAAATAAGGTTGAATATTCTGTGTACTTATTATCCTTATGTGTTCTTCACAGACGGCCTCAGACATAAGTAAACAGCTTGATTAGATATATATATTTTTGTTTTTACACATATACATGTATTTTGCAGTGTATAGTAGAAAATCTGTTGTGATAACTGAATTTCCCCAGTTTTTCCCACTCCTTATCACACCTACTGCTTCATTCTGTGCTGCCAGAACACATGACAGAACAAACTGGATCATGAACAGGAGGCAAATATAGGTTTCCGGTCGGCATCCGACATCTGCGATGATTCATACGGACACCGAACGAACTGCATCATAGTCGGTATATTTAGAGCAGGGGAGTGTCATTTCCCCCTTTTATTTAAATCAGCATTCGAGCCGCTTCTTCTGTCTTCCATCTAATTTTATACTGTTTTTTATGTTTTGTTTTGTTTTTTTTTTCCGTGATGTTTGTGAGGTTATGGGTAAGGATATTTGGTAATGATCCCGTGCTTATTCCCCACGGGAGTTATTTAAAAAGAATTTTCACACTGCAGTTCTGAAACACTAAGCTCTTGATTGCGAGTGTCGCGGAAAGCTGGAGATACTAATTTTTATTTTTATATTTTTCATTAAATAAGGCCCCCTGCGATTTACGGCATGTAGAGCTCTGATTCAAAGTAAGCTGGTGTGATTAGTATGGGGTGGTATAAATAGTTCTACGGATACATATTTATGCAGTTTGTGTGGGAGAGAGACAGAAAGGGTGTGTGGTGCGTGGGAGTCCAGAATGTCTGAGGGAAAATGAAAGCAAACGTTAGGAGTTTTAGTCTGCAGCTTAATGTTTCAATAGTGCAAGTATTCAAATACCTTTATAAATCTAATTTATAAACAGAGTCTGCCTGCTTGTGTGTACGTTAATCTCGACATGAACCCAGCTGTTCTGTGGACGCTTCAGTTAAAGACCAAGAAGAGACTTGAAAAGAGTAAAACCTATCATCTGACAATGGAAAGAGGGATGGAACCTGAAATCTATCAAGTCATGGTCGTTCACTGGGCAAAGGGAAAATTAATCAGCCACGCAGCCAAGAGATTAATGGTAACTCCAGAGTAGGGGAGTTACCCACTCAAGAACTACTGTCCTGCCACTTTCAGCAGGTCATTCAGT